CCACTAGAGGATCATCACAAATGGATAATTGGATTAAGGAACGGTCTGGTAATTAAAATGAGTAAACAAAATTGAACAAGTAAAAGAGGCAAGATAAGCATCTTTTGTGTTGCACTGCATGTATTCGAATCGAACGTTAATTCGAACACAAGGAAAATGGGACATTTCATACTCAAAAGTGATGAAATGTGCCACTTTCCTTGGTCTCCATTACCCTTGATCATGCATGATAGAGTGGTGGTGGTCATTTTGGTCTTGTTTGTGCATTTATTAAACTTGTACAAACTTGGTCCCTTAGCCATCATCCCTTAGCCATCATGTATGAAAATTGCTTGATTGATGGTTTGAGGGCCAAGAGTTTCTCTCCTTTGAGCTTATGTGATGATAAGGAAGGTAAACAGTACAAAAACCTATGAGAATACACTATTTTGCACTCTATTGCAGCATGCAAGTGTGAACCAGCAGTGGCCGACCGGCCACCATTGGTAGCCGACCAGCTCCTTGTCCCTCTTGTCGGCCGATGAAGCAGAGGTGTTCTAGAAGTTGACAGAATTTTCAGTGATCATATGTGCAAATAGAGGCTTGCAACAGCAAAATAGTGGTTTTTCGGGTGAAAACCGGGCACGTGTATGAGCTTCCCTGGCATTTTAAGCTCACTTATCGCTTAAATATCTAGCTTAGATGCATGTTGTAATTAATTAGTTGTAGCTAATTAAATGTTGTGAATAATTAGTTAGTTTAGCTAGTTAATTAGTTTTGATTTGTAATAATTAGTTAGCTTAATTAGCGTAACTAGTTGGTTACCTTATCCATTCGGACCCTCCGTCGCAAGGGCATAATATTGTAATAAGTATGCATGCGTGTGTGTATGTTTTCCAACCCCACGTCTTTCTTTCTTTTATTTAATCGCTTTCGATTGTTAGATTAGGGACATGTTTTAATTAGCATATCGCAAGCTTGCATCCATTCATTCGTATTACATGCACCGAGACTCGGCGCATCATTCAAATTGCATTGCAATTCAATATAATTCTTTGAATACATGTTTAAATTACATGTTGTTCAAATCGATTCATATGCCATTTTAGTAGCCGAGCTTATTAATTGCATATTACATGTGTTGCATTAGGCATCTTGTATAGTTAGGATCATGCATCTTTCTAGCTAGTTTCTGTTTTAGCTTGGAGTACTCGGTGAGTCTTCACGCTTTAGCATACTTGTATGAGTGCGATTGCTATATTGCCATGATTAGCATGCTCACCATAAGGCTGTGTGCTTAAATGCTAAACTACATGAATGCCTATGGACGAAGGCTTGTTGTTTGAATTGAAACAATTCAACAAATGTGAGTTTTAAGCCCACTTTGTTGAGTGGCAAATCATGTTTTAAGCCCACTATGTTTGGTGGCAAATCCGCATCTTTAAGGTCACTTGAGGGTGGCAAATTCAAACCATTTTTGCAAACAAACATGAGTTGAGTTATTTCAAGTCTTGCAAACTAGTCTATACTTGCATGTGTGCATCACATAGTAAAACTAGTTTAATAACCGGAATAAAAATATATAATGTTTATAAAAACACATATCATGATTGGTAGAGGTTGATCTTTGATCGGGCGAGCGGGGGTGCCCATTTTATGACCTTCCCCCCTGATGCCCAAGTTCCCAAGCTGAGGCAACTTTGGTGATGACGGATACGTGGCCTTTAGCATGAGTCAAGGTTTCCTAAATTTTTCCAAAAAAATAAAATATTTAGGTGGCGACCTTATATCTGGCAAAACAGTCCAATCTTGGCATTATTTGATTTAAAATCAATTTTCCAAAAAGGTTTGCCGGATTTGGACTTTTTGGTGTTTATTAGTTTCACATTGCACTTGTGAGATTAGATTCAGAACCGCGGGAGTCCGAACTGTGAAGCCTTCTTTTTAAACCCTTTCCAAAAGACGAGGTGCGAGAAAAAGGCGAGTCCACAGGTACTATATGCTCTATTTTTGTTTTGGAGTAAAATTGTACCCTAGTTTTATATGCTCTATTTTTATTTGATAAAATAAGAGTAAAATTTTGCTCTGGTATTATTATGTATTCTGTTTTTGTTTGATAGAATAACAGTAAGATTTTATTCTGGTACTGTGTGCTTCAGTGATTTGTTTTTGGACTCGTAGTGACAATAAAATTTTACTTTAATTGACAGTAAATTTTTACTATCAACTGATTGCAAATTTGAAAAATAGTTCCAATTCCTATATTGTTATGCAAGTATGGTGATCGTGCCATTGTATTGAAGGTTGTGTCAAACTGCATATTGAAGGATTTAACCGATTTCTATTGTTTATTGATGGTACTTTCCCTAATGGCAAATATAAAGGCATATTGTTATTAACTACAACGAAGGATGGGGATCAATGTAGATACTATTGTCAGTGTCTTACAAAGTAAATTTTTACTTTAATTTTAGAGTAACATTTTACTTATTTTCAGAGTAAACTTTTACTTTTAATTATATTAACATTTTATTGCTTTACTTTTTTAGCCTTTTGTGTATTATACTTACTAATTGTAAAATGTTCTCTCTTTTAGATTTTTTTTCCTCTTGCAATTGGTAATGTCGATACAAAGACTACGGATAGTTGTGGATGATCTTGATAGGCCAAGAAAGAATAGGATTCCATTTAGGGGTGAGAACATAAGACGATTGTAGTGTGGTAGATACAAGAAGTACGGTCAAAACATGAAGACTTGTAAGGAGACATTGTCATAAAATATATTATTATTTTGTAATAAAAGTATAAAAATAATGTAGTACTTTTACAATAACAGTCCATTTTTACTGTGTTATTGAATGATTGTCTATCTAATTCATGGAGTTGCTTTGTAATTCAATTTGACACTTTAATATATTTTTTTAATGTTCTTGATTAGTTTCATGTAAAAGAATTTGTAATGGAGCATGTTCAATAGAAGTGAAGGTTTTGAATAAAATTTTACCCTGAAAAACAATAAAATGTTATTGTCAAAAACAATATAAATTTAGTATGAGTTCTACTGTAAAATATATATATATCCAACATGTATTGACATATGTGCCCTTTTTATTTTTAAACTTTGAAATGATATAGCTTTTGATTTAGATGTCGGTTTTTAATAAAATTAATAATTTTAGAATTTTCTCATCAAAATTTATCAAACAATATCTAGGTTACTATGAAATTCCTTAAAAAAATAAAACAAAATATCGTCGAAATTGACGTAGATAGTAAAATTTTACTATTTTTATCAAAGTAAGGCAAAATTGCAGCGTCATTCAGAGTAAAATTTTACTTTGAATCAAAGTAAAATTTTATTTTTTTACTATGATTCAAAATAAAATTTTACTGTCGTTAAGCAAATCATCAATCAAATTTTATTTTCGTTAACAGAGTAAAATTTTACTATTACAAAAACATAGTACATACTAAATAAAGGAATTATAGCCGAATAAAACTCTCAATTTTTAATTGTAATATATCAATTTATCATTTTTTTGACACATATGAGGTCATTTCAGTTCTGAAGTTATTGATCTCAAACATGAGTTCATAAGTATCAAATTTGAGATGGCGATGGTTAACAGTAAAAATGGTGGTCGCTAGCCAATGGTGAAGTTGAGCGATATCGACTGATGATGGAGATGGTGGAGGCGATGAAAAACCATCAACGGTGGAGTTGGTGGAGAGAGAGAGAGCTGTAAAAGAAAGTGAGCTTCTCTGACTTGTAATAGTTGATTTGAAAGTAACGACCGGTAGAAGATGATGAAATCGTTCAATAATTTCGAAACATTCAACAATGACACTTGAAAATATCTCGTTATGCTTCAATATTTGCTTCAATTGACAGTTTTTGAAGGAAGGTTTTCGAATCAAGGGTCTTGAACTTTGACAATTTTTAAACGAAGAAAAAGAACAAGAGAGACAAACAGTTCAACTGCTCACTATTGCCCATATATATGCAAGGGTATTCTTGTCTTTTAATCTAATTTTTTAATCCTGAGGGAGTTTGACAGCATTAATATATTCCATATCCTTTACACAAAAAAAGGCCCAATAGGAGGGAGTTCTCACAAAAAAATCCCCCCCTAAAAAAAAAGAAACTTTGTGTGTGTTAGTTTTATACACCCACTTGACACATTTTAATTATTCATTCTCTAAATTAATAAATATTTGACACTTAAAATTAAATTATACTTTTATTATTTTATTTTATTTTGACTCAATTAACCCATAAGTCATTCCATTAGAAATGATCTTATAAGTCAACTTAATTATTATTTTTTTAATTAAAGAAGTCTAAAATTTATTTAGTCATTTATCACGCATCAAATCAATGCAAAACCCCTCAAAATCACACTTGTACGTATAACTAGAAGAGTGGTGTTTTATGGTTAGTGGCAGCTTCAAGACTTGGTCAGGGTGTCACCCGAATTCCTTAGTTGAATTTTTTTATTTATTAATTATATAAATATTAGATTTTAAGAAAAAAATTAGTAATTGAACCTACTAAAATACAATTTTGAACTCATAGTTTTAAATTCTACTCTTTTGAACTCATATTAGATATTAGCATGTCTTTTTGCTTAAATAATAGTATCAATATATTGAAATATTTTTATTTATAATTTTAGAATTTAAATTAATTTGTTGATTTTTTTCTCCATATGTGATATAATGATTAATGTAAATTTTTTGTAAGATATATAGCATTTAAGTTTTTGATTGACATCACTGACAAAAATTCCTAGAGTCGCTACTGTTTATGGTATGCACCCTTAAAGGTTGCACACCATGATAGGCTTTTCCTCAGTTTACTATCTCATTTATATATCATAACTATAATGCTAGGGATCATCACTAAGCATTTCTCTTATCATAATTGCATTGGTTAAAATCATGTATGGAAGTGGAATTTAATTGATTCACTCCAAAAAAACTGACATTCCAAACACATCTCCAAGTGTGGAGAATACACATGAGAAGAGAAACAAGCACACAAATACAGAACAAAAAGGTGGTATGTATGTATGAATGTATTATTATTACAGATCTAAAGAGAGTGAAAACAGTCTTTGAATTACTAGCTTTAGTGATATTTTAGAGAGACAATCCAGACTCCTCATCCTCATCAAGGGAGGAAGTGTAAACAATGTAGAGAGACCAGATCAAAGCAAACACACCCAAAAGGATCCAACCCAGAGTGTTGTTGCTCAAACCAAATGGAAGCCCTGTCCCTTCTGTGCTCATTCTATCATCCACCAATGCCATTGCTGGGCTTGACATTGTCATCGCCGCTGCACACGCTGCAGCAATCGATGATGCAGCCATGCTCGTGTTCGACGAGCTGCTCATGCTCTCCTTTTCACAAGGCTTTCCCTCCATGGAACACCTCACTCTCCCCTTCTTCACCATTGCTGGCAACCCTGCAGCATATTTCCCATTTATAAAGTCAAAAGAAACAATCACTGTTTATTTGATCGTATTTTCGTTTCCTGTTTTTATTTATCGAATGAGAAAGACTCAATTTTTATATTTTAGACATGGTTTGAAAATGTTGTTAATTTATTCTTTTCTACTTACAAAAATGATAAGAATTAAGTTCTCTTTTCCCTTTCATATCCACTAAACATTTTTTTTTTTTTTTTTTGTGTACAAAAGTTTTAAAAACGAATAAAAAATAAATAAAAAAACATGTTTTGATGAATTGTCGGAGGTGGTAGCCAGTGATAGGGGGTGGAAGGATGTATTGCTCAATCGCGGGGTGGCCAGAGCTTCTCGGAGGGTCGTCTGTAATTGGCAGGCCTGCTATCAACATTGGACAGTGGTGGCAAGTGGCTAGCAGTGGGGATAGGTAAGAAAAGGGGGAGATAGAACAAGTTAATATATATATATACTAGTAGCGGACAGAAGTTAAAAAAAAGTTATGAAATTAAAGTGATAGGAAAAAAAAAGTTATACATGTAAAAATTATATAGTTATTTAGATCTATTTTTAGAATAAAAATTGTAGAATAAAATTAAAACCAACTCAGGTCTTTACATATTATAATAGAATAGACATTCTTTTAGGATTTCCTCCAGTCCCTGTGTGGGCTGTAAGGCTCAATATGGTCCCGTTTCGATAATTGAAATTGTTTATTTTATCGGGCAGTTCGTATATTTCATCCAAAAAAAATTCAAGTTGATCTAATAACTGTAATTTGTTCAATGAATAAAGATTGAGAACATTAATTTTTGAGTTCTAAAGAGAGCACTAGTGATGTGGCAATGAGTGGAGCCACATGTGATGTGATGTGTGTGCCACTATATTTTTTTTTCTTACCACATCATTAAAGCTCTCTATCATTGTTGTTTGTTCAATGAAAAATGCATTGGACCCCTGGTGGGGGTGACCCCACCACTTCCACTGTTTTCTGATTGGTGGATATATATATATATATATTTTTTTCTAAGTCATGCTCGCACAGCCCCCCAGGTGGAGGTGGGGTACTGGGGTCACCCCCCACTGGGGATCTCCAGCAGTGCTGTTGTTCAATTTACCATGTTTTTCACTAAAAAAAAGGACAATAATTGCATTTTTTAAAAATAAACTATGACAAAAAATAAATTGAACAAGTTGCACTTATCAGATCAACTAAATTTTTTATATAGATAAAATACACAAAGTATTTTATAAAATAAATTGTTCAAATTATCAAAACGGGATCCATGATAGCCTCCAGTATCATCCACCATTTTTTAAAATTTTAGAATTAATTTCATTCCATTTATATATACCTAACAAGTTTTGTTTCCAAAAAAAAAAACAAAACTTACCACTACATAATATTACTTCTGCCTCTGCCTACTTAGGCATGAGAATTTATTGAGAACAAAACAAATTCATCTATCTTTACTCAAGTTATAGCATTGAAGAAGAAGATGAGACAAAAAAATTAACTTCTATTTTCATTCAAACAGTCATGGAATGAAAATCATGAGTGATTGATGATTCTTACCAAGAACAGAGAATGAAGGAGCTGCTACTATGCTCTTCGGCACAAGAGCAACTGAAGAGGTTGGGGTGCAGGCAGTGATGGTAGCAGCCATTTTCAGGTTTGATTGGCAAAGAGAGAAGAGATACAGAGTTTTATATATTATTTCATTGAATAAGGGGGGGTACTCTATAGTCTACAATACTAATGAAATGGAATTTTTGTTAATCCAAACACCCCTGTCCAACGCAACCACACATCATAGATATGATATTCCCTCATCTCTAAGAATCCAACCAATTTCCTCCACGTGGCACACACAATCCATTTCTAGCCATGAATTCTCCAGCCAAGCCAAGAGGTCTGTTTGTGTTTCTTGGGCCCACCATACCACACAACATATGGAAGATGGAAAATGCTGGGTTTGTTTGGTTTGTTTTTGAGAAAAAATTTTGAGAAGAATTTTTTACAAATAATTTTTTAAGAGTAATTAAATTAAACAAATTTTTTTTAAAAAAATTTTAAAATTTTGTTTGATTACTTACTTTTCAAAATCACTCTCTCTCTCTCTCATACATATCAAATCAATCACTTTTTTTAAAATTTTCTCTCCAAAACAATTTTCCAAAATCATTTCTAAAAAAAAGGCAAACTAAACAAGTTTTCGTACTTTTTATCTCAAAAATTACTTTACAAATACAAACCAAACACACCCGCTATGTCCTTGTATTTGGAATTTGGGAGAATTACACGTAACCGTCTTTATAGTTTAAAACTTGTGTTATTTTGATTCTTAATTATAATATATTTGATTTTAAATTTTGAATCTTATTCTAAATAAGGACAATTGAATACCATTACTTAATTTCAAATGTAAAATCGTCAATTTGATAAAATGACAAATTACACTAACAGTCTCTATAGTTTGGAACTCATGTCACTTTGGTCCCTGACTTTTCAATTATGACACATTTGATCTTGAATTTTAAATCTTGTTCCAAATAAGGACAATTGAAGATACCATTGTTTAATTTCAAGGAAAAATCGTCAATTTAATAAAATATAAACTAATTTGACAAAAATAAATGTTAAAAAAATATTTTTTATTTTTTTTAAATTATTTTTATCCACCAATGATAAAATTATGTAAAATTGATAAAAATTAATAAAAATTACATGATTAATTTTTGAAAAATTAATTTTACATGATTATCATCCAAGCACATAATAGAAATTAATTTGGTAAAAAAAAAAATAAATGTCTAAAATATTTATCAATTTTACATAATTTTATTTTTAGTGGGTAGAAATAATTTTAAAAAATTCAAAAATATTTGTTTGACATTTATTTTTGTCAAATTAGTTTATATTTTTATCAAATTGACGATTTTACCCTTGAAAAATCTAATGATATCTTCAATTGTCCTTATTTGGAACAAGATTCAAAATTCAGGATCAAATGTGTCACAATTGAAAAGTCAGGGACGAAAGTGACACAAGCCCCAAACTATAGGGACTATTGTAATTCACCCTTGATAAAATCTAAACATAACTTGACAAAAATAAATGTCAAAAAACATATTTTTGAATTTTAAAAAATTATTTCTACTCACGAAAGATAAAATTATGTAAATTTGATAAATTTTTTACACATTTATTTATTTTACCAAATTAATTTTTATTATGTGTTTGGATGATGGAGCAAGGATCCTCTAGAGTGATTTTTTTCTAAAGTTTCCTAGAGTGCTACATTGTGTGGTTGAGATTTACTGGCAAGTCAAATCAATTTTTCTGATGTGACTTGCCAATAAATCTCAACCACACAATGTAGCACTCTAGGAAACTTTAGGGAAATTTCACTCTAGAGGATCCTTGGTGTTGGATGATGATCCTGTAATGGGTGGTTGTAAGCCTTTTAATGTGTAATCGATATATTTAATATATGAAATGTTTTTAATTTTGGATTTTTTGATTTAATGGATTGGTTTAATAATGATATCAAAGTTATCATTATATTTGACTATTGAAAAAATAGAAACTAATTTACTGAAAATAAAAATTATCACATATTACATAATCATCATCCAAATACATAATAAAAATTAATTTAGTAAAATAAATAAATATGTAAAAGATTTATCAATTTTACATAATTTGATTTTTGGTGAGTAGAAATAATTTTTAAAAATTCAAAAATATTTTTTTTGACTTTTATTTTTGTCAAATTAGTTTATATTTTATCAAACAGTTCCGCTACGTCGCTCGAAAACTTACCCCCCGAATCCCCCGAAATTGATAAAGGTGAGTTTTGAGATCACTGTCAATCTACCAACACCACGCGCGAAATAGAAGAAGAAAACAGAGGAGAGGAGAGAAAGAGGAGCCCGTCGAAGAAGAATACCACTGAGATCGACCACCGACCTGGGTGACCACCGACGACCAGCAAAAAACTCTGCCGAAGTGACTGTGTTGTTCGGTGTTTCTTCTTCTTCATTCTGTTTCTTGTCCAAGGGTATGTCTCTGTTTCTTCTTCTGAAACCTAGTTCATAGAATGCTGCTGTTTTGTTAGAAATGCATTTATTGATTTAGTAGTGGTAATCTTTGTACATAATTTTATAGAAACCTAGTTGATTTATACATAATTTTATAGAGGGAAATGTTTGAGAACTCGACCGGAGAGGGAATTATGTATAAATCAGCTAGGTATTATCAGACTCCAAAATTATGTTTATAGAAACCTAGTTCAAAAATGGTATTATCCACAAATGGATTTCTGAATTTGTGGACTAACCTAGTTCATTCTGAATTTCTGTGCTATTCATCTATTTGTGGATTTCACAAAAATGAATTTGTCGATTTCAGAATTTCTGTGCTGTTCATCTAATTGTCCAAAGACAATCAAGAAATCCATTTTTGTGGACTAACCTAGTTCATTCTGTTTTTTGTCCAAGGGTATTATCCATTTTTGTAATTAAATGTGTCTCAGTGTGCTCTTTGTTCTAAGTGATAGGTTCAAAACCCAGTTAAGTCATTATGCATAAGTTTTTTGTATGAACAGAACCTGTTTTGGACAAACTGTTTCACACTTTGCATTTGAGTTTGATGAACATAATTTGTGTATGAACAGAACCTATATGAACATAACCATAATTTATGAACAGAACCTGTATGAACATAATTTGTGTGATGTATACAAACTGTTTCACACTTCGCATTTGAGTTTGAAGGTACAATGGACATTGATTCAAACCATCCTACATTGAGTGGGGGTGAGGAAGTTGAGGAAGCAGAGAACAATCCTACATTAAATGAGAGTGAAGAAATTGAAGAACCTAAGAAGGGGATGTGGTTTACCTCAAAGCAAGAAGTTCACGAGTTTTATGCAAAATATGCTAAAAACCTTGGATTTGCTATAGCTTACAGAACACAGAATGTTAGATCGGATGGAAAGGTGAAATACTTTGGAATTGAATGTACTCAGGCGCAGAAGAGGACAAAAAGATCAGAAGTAAACCCCCTGAAACCATCTTTGTCATCAAAAATTGATTGTAAAGCTAGGATAAGAGCGATTTTACAACCAGATGGAAGATATAAGTTAACTACAGTTGTGCTTGACCATACGCATGATTTAATTCCTAGCGACTCACGCCATTTTCCAATGAATAAGAGGATTCGTACTCCTGTGAAGAGAAGATTAGAAATAAATGATGAAGCAGGAATAGGGGTATCTAGGAATTTTCATTCTATAGTTGTTGAAGCGGGGGGATATGAGGCATTAACATTTGATGAACGAGATGTAAGGAACCACATTGAAAATGCTAGAAGATTGAGGCTTGGGGTAGGAGACGCCGAATCAGTTGCATTTTATTTTCATAGGATGCAACAAGAAAATTCAAACTTCTACTCTGCAATTGACTTTGATGTAGATGGTCGCATACGGAACTTGTTTTGGGCGGATGCAAAGGAGTAAGGGCGGCTTATAAAGCATTTGGGGATGTTGTCTCATTTGACACGACCATCTTACAACAAGTATGATATGCGTTTGCTCCGTTTGTAGGAGTTAATCCACCATGACAGGTCCAATCTTGTTTGGTTGTCGGGCTATTATCCTAATGAGAACACGGACACTTTTGTTTGGCTATTCAAAGAATGGTTGAATTGTATGTCAGCCACTCCTCCAAATGCTATTATAACTGACCAGTGCAGAGCCATGCAAAATGCTATACAAATTGTCTTCCCACAGGCTTGACATCGTTGGTGTTTATGGTATATAATGAAGAAAATTCCTGAGAAATTGAGAGGATATTCCCAAATATGAAGCCATCAAATTCGCTTTACAAAGTGCAGTCTATGATTCTTTCAGAAAAGATGAATTTGATGAGGAATGGCAAACGATGATTGAAAAGTTTAGCCTCCATGACAACGAGTGGTTGGGAGTATTATATGCTGAGCGACATAGGTGGATTCCTGCCTATGTGAAAGATATATTTTGGGCTGGCATGTCAACTACACAGCGAAGTAAGAGCATGAATGTGTTTTTTGATGGCTATGTCAACTCAAAGACTACTTTAAAGCAATTTGTTGAACAGTACGACAATGCATTGAGAAGTAAGGTGGAGAAGGAGACCAAAGCAGACTTCAAATCTCGAGACAGATTGTATGATTGTTTAACGGTGTATGAGTTTGAGAAGCAATTTCGTGCAGCCTACACAAATGCGAAATTTAAAGAAGTTCAACTAGAATTGAAGCGACTACTGTATTGTCATGCGAATCTTGTGAAGAAGGAGGGATCCATTTGTACCTATCATGTCAAGGAAGCTGTGCTTGTGGGTGAGAAAATGAAGAAAGTTGAATTTATTGTTTACTTTAATTCAACTGAATTTGAAATGCAATGTGTGTGTCGGTGGTTTGAGTTTAAGGGGATCATGTGTGCCCATTCCCTTAGTGTGCTCATTGAGAGGAGCATATATGAGGTTCCTAATAAGTACATTATGTCGAGGTGGAGAAAAGATTTGGAAAGAGGGTACACATGTATTCCAACAACATACACGAAATCCGGGGCTGCCCTCAATGCAAAGGTACATGAGAACTACCACAAGACATTGGATGAAATTATAGAAATTTCTTCAAACGATGATGGTAAACACGAAGCCATTCAACTTGGGCTGAGAGAAATCAAGGAAAGAGTAAGAAAAGATGAATCTCGTTGTGCGAGTAATGTGCCACCTTCTAGTAGTACTGTCCCACCTTGTAGCAGTAATGTGCCACCTTGTAGTACTACTCGCAAGGTGCTTAGTCCTTTGGTTGCTCGCCGAAGAGGCCGTCCATGTACGAAACGGAAGGTGAGCAAGGTGGACGAAATAGTGAATCGGTTAAAGGGAAAGAATAAAAAGGCAACAAAAGTGCAGGTATATTTTTTAATTTTTTGCTTATATGTAAATTTCTGAATTTCTTTTTGTCTAACTTTGTCACCAATGTGTGTTACTATAGGGTCGTAAGATGGGTCAATGTGAACCTCGTAAGTTGAATTTCGGTTGTACGGATGGAATGGAAAATGAACAGTACGATCGGGTATGTGTTTCATGGTCCACTCAATTGGTTTTGTATGGTATTTATTTAAATATTTGAACTTATTAATGATATTTTGTTATTATGTATCATAAGGTGCCAGAAGCTCAATCCTACTATTTTCCTTGTATGGACGGGACACAAGAGAGCGCATTGCAAATGGTGGACAAAGTTGGAAGCTCATCTTTGAGTGAATCAGGAATGGCAAATATAGATGGTTCAACTTTTGTGGACTTCAATATAGATGTGGATCCAAATGCTCAATTTTTTTTTTAGTTTCGTAGTATGGAATTTGTAACACATGCTGAACAGATATTTTTATTTTTTGAACTGGTTTTTCTTAACACATGTTGAACAGATTATATTTTGAAGAAGTTATATTGAAACAGGTTCTGTATGTTTTTAACAGGTTATATTTGATTCTAAACAGCACATTCTGTTCAAACAGGTTCTGTAGAATGTATTTATATTCAAACAAATTATGTCAAGATCAGTATGTTCAAACAGATTCTGTGAAGATCTGTATGTTCAAACAGATTCTGTTAACAGGTTTTTACAGATTTGAATGTGAATTTTTGGACAGATTCAAGAATGAATGTTAATAGGTTTTAACAGGTTTTAACAGATCTGTATGATCTGTATTTTTGGACATGTACAAAACAGATTCTGAATTTTTGGACAGGTTTTAACAGGTTTTAACAGATTCTGGAAGATTTGTATTTTTTTTCTGTGAACTTGTTTTGAAAGGAGCAGAATGAATGTGGCAAATTCTGTGTTTGGACATTCTGTGTTGTGTCACAAAATTCTGTGTGCAGTTTAGAATGAATGTGAATTCAAATTTGTTGGTTTGTGAATGGCAAATCTGAATTCTATCCAGAATGTGAATTGTAACTTAGCAGGTTTTTCCTTTCTTGAATTGAATTGTATTTATCCAGGTTTTTCCTTTCTTGTGTATTTATCCAGAAGGTGAATTGAATTCTATCCAGGTGTATTTTTCCTTTCTTGTTTATGTCCATACAGTCAAAATTAGCAGGTATGTCAGCCACATTTATTTTGATAACCATAATTTTGAGCAAAACCAACATTTAAGTTTAAAATAAATTAACTTGACCATCTCTTTTTCAGATGGAATTTGTCATTGAGACCTCTTCTTCATAATTCCTCTCAACTTTTGGTCATGCTTCTAATGTGTGCATCTATCTCTGATCAGCATAGACAAACATCCTTACACCTGAGTTTTTGAATGTTCAATTGCATCAACCAGCTTCAAATTTGTGAACAAATTTGCCATTCACAAACCAACCTGGTGAACAAATTTTCCATTCACAAACCAAGCAGACAGTTTAAAGTTCTTCTTCCTACATCCCAACCTGGTGAACAGATTAAACACACACACATATTACATCCCAACCTGTCACCAAATGTCATCCAACACACATACACAGATTAAACACACCTAAGGTGAATCATCCTAACCTCGTACAGATTAAACATACACACGGATTAAACACACACATATTACATCCAACCGAATGATTATATAACATTAACCAAGATCCAAAGGCAAAAGTGAGATACAAAATCAAGATCCAAAGCCATGACATAAAGCATCAAGTCCATTAAGTCCATAACTACATCCATCAAATTCCCTAAAAGCTATCAGCTTAGTAATTTACATTATAAAATAGAAAATAATACAAAATACAATGACATAAAGCATCACATTCAATTTCATCTCCACTCTTCGAAGCCTTCTACCATGCTCCTCAAATTCATTATCCATCTCATAAACCCTTGTGCTTCGATCATTAAATTCTTCACTTCTTATAGATGTACGAGGTGTAGCATTGAAGATCTCGTCGTCATCATTATCATCTGCAAACTTGAAGTAATTGCAGTGTTCCTCACTAACCTACAATGCATGACAATCAGTTAATCAAATGAGGCTAATAAATTTCCAAACAAATTTCCATACTGCTTACATATTTCGATGGACACACAAAGTACACACGGCCTTTATTTCCATTCTGATTTGACTTGACAGTGTGCCTGGCAGCTGTTATCCCACAATCGCACAATCTTCGTTTCAATCTTATGTTGCTATTGTTACTAGAGGAACAAGCCATTTTGTAATCTGCATACAGAATGGAAAACACAGACATGATACATACAAAGCTATGTCCAAAATTTATATTTAGTTTTCCAAAATTCATATGAATTGAATGCAAAACCCATATGAATTGAATTCAATCCAAAGAAAATTGCAGTGTCTAAAACAAACATTTCCAAAGGCACTGCTATGTCCAAACCTCAAAATCAACTTTCGTTGCCTCATGAATTGGCCCGTTTGGTTCCGAAACCCAACAACATGCACTGAGTTTAGAGCACCAACAACCCATCCCAATATCAAAATTTGGAAGAAAACACCAATGAGTCTTCAAACTTCACACCAGAGATAACCAACAATCAAACCCAGATTCACATGCCAATCCAGTTAATCTCCTCTTTGAAAACCCATTTAAAATTTCTTGTGGTAGCAATTATTATTCCTAAACCAAATCCAGATCATCTCATGAAACACTTAATGATATAGTAAAACCCATGTTTGAATTGCTCTAAAAAATAAAATAAAATAAAATACAAACCCACAAATCAAATATGCATATAGACCAATATAATTTGTAAAAAGATAGAAGTAATAGCTAATCATTTGATACAAAAAATGAATCAAATGCTTAACTCAGAACATGTTCAAATCTGAATCTGAGTCTTAACAGAATGAAAATAGTTACAAAATTGGGTTTGGGGGATTGTTGCTATTTCATACCAAATATCAAAATTAAGTAGATGGAATTCATGCTATTTCATACATTCTTATACATTATTGAACCTGTTCTACTCTTTTCGGTTTCCTTTCAAACCTATATACATTCTGTTTAATACATTCCATACCACATATCACAAAATGCATTTAAACAGAATATATATAAACAGAATATTTACACCATAACAATCAGAAATTGGGCAATAAAACCAAAACCCTAATAAATATCACACTGTGCAGGACTTATCAACAACAATTATTTATACCAAAACCCTAATAATATCACAAATTGGGCATTACATAACAATCAGAAATGAACATAACATCTACGAATTCAACACAAAATCAAAACCCTAAAATTAATTGAAGAGAAGAAAACCCTAAAATTAATTACATAAGAATCATAAGAATCATAAATCAACATAACATATAAACACAAACTCTAGTTGAAGAGAAGATATGGGAGTCCACACCCGTAGCTGAGGAGAAGATCTGCGAGTCCACACCTGTAGTTGAAGAGAAGATCTGCGAGTCCACAGATCTGCGACTCCACACCCGTGGCTGATGAGTAGATCTGTTATGCGAGTCCACACCCGTAGCTGATGAGAGGATTTGGAAGTGATTAAAGGCTCGAAGAGAGAGTGAGTAGAGAAAGATGAGAGGATTAAGGGCTACAATGGAGTCGACTGGAGAGAGGATGCTCGAAGCTGAGGAGAGAGTGAAGCGCGTAGCCACAGATGGGTTTTGGAGCCTGATAAAGAAGTCTGATAAAGAAAGTGTTAGAAACGATGTCGTTTCTAAGTTTCGGGGGATTAGGGGGAAACTTTTTCGAGTTCTCAAACATTTTCCTTTATCAAATTGACAACTTTGCTCTTGAAATTGATCAACGATATCTTTCATTATTCTTATTTGGAACAAAATTCAAAATTTAAGATTAAATATGTCACAATTGAAAAGTTAAATATTAGAGCGACACAAACCCCAAACTATAGAAATCATTAATATAATCAGCCCTTTGAATTTTATTTAAAATTAGTGGGGCATGAGTTATATTTAGAATGATTTTAATTTATAAATACATTCGTTTGAATAATTTTTTGAATTTTTAGTATTCATCACAAGCTGCAAAATTTAATAAGATACAACAGACAATTTTTAGTATTCATCACAAGCTCCAAAATTTAATAAGATACAACAGACTTGACACTAACTAACTCGATAATTACAAATACAAGACAAGTCGAGTTTAACACCCAAGTTCAAGTCTTAAAATACGCACTCTCTATATCTTCCAACATCCTATAAAAATAAATAAATAAAAACTATAAAGAAGAATTCTCTGCACTATATTTTATGCACTTTTTTTTTAGGAGTAGAGATAAATTAATAGTTAATTTGATTATTTACTCAATTATCTTTCTTTATCTCCCTCTTTTTTCTTTTAATTTTTCTTTTTTCTACACTTGGCAATTTTGAAATCCTCTTTATTGAGGCAAAAGAACTGTCAATGCAATTGCTTGATAATTGACTTAAAATTAATCTGTAAGGATTTTTCAATTCTTACTGACACGCTCGCATTTATGATATTTTCTTTCGTAGAAAAACTAAGCCAACAACTATAGATTTACTGTACTAGAGTTAACCTCAAAAGTGAATTATCAATATGAAACGGAGTAAGATTTGTTAGTCATACCAATCCAAAGAGTTGATAGAATTTCAAGATTTGTATATGACTATATATGCAC